CGACGAGCCGCCCGCGGCCCAGTCTGTGTCGACGGCGGCTCGATCGCTTCTTTCTCTCTCTCTTTTTCTTTCCTCATGTATACGCTCTCTCTCTCGTACTCTCAGTCTCAGTTTCTCTCTCTTTGATTGCCTCTCTAGCCTCCTCCACCTCCTTCCTTTCCATCATCCTCCGCGTTCGCCGCCTCCTCCGTCACTCCTTTTTTCCCCACAGTTCACAGCCTCTTCTTTTACTTTTTTCTTTTTTCTACCTCCCCACTAATTTTCCCCGCATTTACCCTCCTACTTACGAATCAAGGCCGTGATCATGAGACCGTGTCACACGTACTCTATATGCTTTCTCTTTCCTGTCTCTCTACCGAAGAGAAGAGAGACCTTTCCTCCGCCTCGCCTTCGAAACCTCTTTTTCCTCCACCCCAAGAAGCGAGGTCGTTCACGCGTTACCCTTGTCGAGCGTGTCGTGCAGCGTTTGGCGCGCGAGAGAGAGGATCGAGGAACGGTTGATGGATCGATCGAAATCACGGGACCACGAAGCAGAGATTCGAGAAAAGGGAGGAACACACACGCGTACGAAGAAAGAAAAAGAGAAACGAGACGATGTTTGCCACTGGAATTTTGGCTGAGAATTTGACGCGCGGCGATTTACAAACGCTCCGGTTGACCAAGAGTCCAAACAATTTCGATATTTCGTATAACGTTTAATCTATTTCAACGAATTAAGTGTCTCGATATACAGATACGATCGCTGATGGGATCAGGCTTAATGGCGCTTTTAAACGTCATCTTGTAATTGTATAAATATCAAATATTATTTTTTGCTCGATTCGACTGATATGTAGAAAGATAATTGTTTCGAACGGATCTACCGCAATATATGTAGCTGGCATTACTTTTATCATGGCGTAATCTTTCGTTTATTTCCATATCTTATTCACATTTACTGTAACTGTAACGCGGTCTTTTATAAAATTCTGTCATACGAATATTATAATAAAACTGGAGCAATAGCAACTACTAACAGTCAAATAATTGTAGTTTGAACATAAATATACCGATAGGAAGGATATATCTAGATATACGACGTATTAAAAATTGAAATTTAATATTACTTCAAGTATACCGCAAGCTATCGAGTCGTATCGTATGTCTGAGTTAACGAAGGCTTAACGTTTCTATTTGTCATTAATTTTATACGTACAATCAAATTTATTTTTTACTTACGGTAAGTTTGATCCCATCATTAGTCACGATCGTGTTTCGTCTCTTTTTATGGAGCTATAGTCCTTTTACAATAATTACTTTCCACGTAAACGTTCAACATTTATGCGAATTATCAATAGAAATTACTACTATATTCTTAAATGTTAACAAATAAAAAAATTAACCTTGGTCAAGAGCGTTGTAATGCGTTACTATCAAACGATCACATTTATTTTAATATTTCGTTTCTTTCGAACCTTAGAGAACACTCCATTATGTTAAACAACGGTACCAATCTCTTTCGTATCGAGTGTAACTCGTGTCAATGAAAAATTTTAACCGCGATAACGCAATGTCCGCGGAGGTTCATAATACAAACGTTAATTATACCACGACATGTTCCTCTTACTTATAACAAAAATATGAAGGTACAAAAACGAGGTGAAGCAAAAAAAAAAAAAAGAAAATAAATAACATGAACGAAAAGGAGGAAGAAGGACAATCATAATTATATCGCATAAGTAAAAGGACACTCTGTACATCGGGATTAAGTGCAACACACATTTACTTTTGCGTAAAAAGTCCTCTGTAAAAGAAAAAAAAAAGAAACGGTCGTTCAAACTTTCAAACCAGTGCAATTAACAAGAAAAAATGCATGATGGGTGACGTGTACAAGTTTGCTACAAGTTCTGTGCGTAGGCAAAGCGAGCTTTCCAGAATAATTAATTCGAACTTGGTTTTTGCGTTAAGGGATTAATCGTAAATAAATAAAAATACATAAGATTATACACTCCATTCGAGGAGAACCAAAATTAAGAAAACCGAACGAAAGGCGACGACAACGAAAACAAAAATAGAACCAGAAAAGGGAAAGAACAGGTAGTCGATGCCACCGAAATCGATCGTTAATCATAAATAACAAAAATAAAGCAGCGATTGTTTGTCGTCATGAAGGAGAAAACTAGTAAGGCGGAAAATTGGTGTTGTTTTATCCAATATACATTATACCTACATATGTACAAATATACGAGGCCCTGCAACCTCTCGAATAAGTTGAGGATTGGCATAACGCGTAATGGAGTACTCTCTAAGCGGCTGAACCAACTGGTTAATACAGTTACAAACTTGCCAACCTGGTGACACACAGAACACCTTCAAGTGTCGGGTTCGTTTGTCTCCATTCAGCGTTTTTGCACCGACAACGTGCAACACGTCGGCATAATCTTTTCACCGGAATGTTTTAAGCACGGAAGCTGCCTCAAATGAAATTGCAGCCGCCTTCTCCGAATACGTTTACGGAGTAAGAATTGTTATTCGCCGGGCGAATCTGCGCGGAGGCGGATAGCGATGGGACTGAGTCTATCGTAAGTTGTTTCATTAAAATGAGCGATATGATGAGATAATTAAGAATATTTGATAAAACGATTTAACAGTAATTCGATGGTATGTGTTCAAACCTTGTATTATATAGCAGAAGGAACAATAATATTTAGATATATTTAGAATGTTTAAGTTGAACTTATCTGATTACTTTGTATAATTTAGCAGTGAATATTAGTTATAGTTATTCGTTGGTACTTACTAACTTATAAAACATTGTTCCAATATATATATATATATTTATTTTTAAGTTTTTATTTACCAATAGAGTAGGGTACCCGTTTAATCAGCCTCTATGGGATTATATTTCTGGATGTAATAAAAATAAGATAGAAAATACGTATATACAGGGTGGTTGGTAACTGGTGGTACAGGCGGAAAGGGGGTGATTCTACGCGAAGAAAGAAGTCGAAAATATAGAATAAAATTTTTTTTTTAATTTTTCCATCAAGACAGCGATCTACATTGAGATCCGTTATAACGTACCGCACGCGTACCGAGCGAAAATTCAAAGTCGATTTTCTCGAAAACAAAGCCTCGGATGAAAAATTTTTATTTTATATTTTCCACTTCTTTTTTCACGTAGAATCACCACCTTTCCGCTTGTACCATCAGTTACCAACCACCCTGTATATATAACATCTATTATATATGCTTGTATATCTACGTGTTTATGCGAAAATTGAATGTTATTATACTTTTTTATTACATTTGCGATAAATATCTAAGCTACGAGTGTGAAATACGTAAGGAGAAATATGTCCACTATACTTTCAACTTTTTTACTAAACTATATTATTTTTAGCCGATATTCTCTCCTCTCTATATCTACACACAAGTTCTTCCCCACAGGTATCTGTCAAAATCACTTTTCGCATCAAAAGTTTCCCATAAATAAAAACAGTAGAAATTCCTGAATATTTGTATGAAATTTCACGTTCGAAAACTATCACCATCTTCAACATCGCCAATTTCACAGTGCATTTCTCCAAGCTGCCCGCAATAACTCAACCTCTGACAATCACTATGAAACAACTATCCAATAGCAAGGTTCGAACATATTACCAGCCCATTGATCGTGAACACTGCACGGTGTCATTTATTTCGAAAATATTGCCCGATCCTGTTAAACTAGCGTTCAGTCACTAAATTGATCTACGCGTCGCAATCGCATATACCGAGCTCGTTCCCATCGCTAACTGCCGGCGAGGCTTCGTTTGAGGTGTTCTACGATCTGTGAAAAATGCAGTCCCACGGGGAATACGGAGAAAGAGAGAGAGAGAGAGAGAGAGAGACAGACAGACAGACAAAGAGAGAGGGAGAGAAAAAGAGAGAGAGAAAGGGGGATATCTCATCTGGATGGACCGATCAATATTTTCTCAAAGAGTTAAACGCTTTCGGGGTCACACATGTTTCAAGGTGCGTGCACCGTTGTCGATAACGGGAAAAGAGTAATCTTTTTATTCTCAGCACTTCGAGGTATCAAGATTCCGCGATTCGGGATTCAATGAACATAGAGAGACTCGATTTCAATAATACCCGATGTTCGAGAGAGTGTCAGTGTGCGCAAGGTCTCGTAACACGACTCACATGTCACGAAGATCGATGCGAACACCTATATAAATGTATGCGATCCACGTGCTATGTATTCACAGGGCGTTCCGGTAATTATGGTACGATCGACAAGGCGGCGATTCTATGTGTGAAAATAAGACGGAAATGTGAAATGAAATTTCTTCGTAGAACGTTTCGTTTCCGACAAAATGAAAATATCGCAACAGTCAACTAAACACGTGGAAATGCAACTTTCGTGAAAGCAGGGCTTCAAACGGAGAAATTTTGTTCTACATTTTTGTCTTATCTTCGCGAGTAGTATAACTTTCTGTTGATTATAAACTCGGTAATTGAGCAAGTTCGCACATACCAACGAAATTTTCAAATTCCATTTGATCGAAGACGATGCGTGCGGAAACGAAGAAACGTCATTCTATATTTCCGACTTATTTTCGCACGTAGAATCGCCCATCTGTCGATTCCATCATGATTTAGAACACCCCATATACATATGCGCGTGTATATATGTGTATATATGCGAATATCTGTCGCTGATAAAACGATTCCACGGCGAGTCGACGTATCGATCTACTGCATTCACGCTACCTTTCTTTCTTTCTCTTTCTCTCTCTCTCTCTCTCTCTTTTTCTGTGTTCCCGATTAACGTACAATTTAAATAATATTTGCGTGATAGGCTAGATAACGGGCGTTTATGGGGAAAAGGTAAAAGGTCATTTCGTTGAACTTCTCGATCGATCAGCTCGACTAACGGTAACGTTGGTGGGAAGGGCGTCGACGAGAAGGGAGAAAAAGGGGAGGAAAAAAGGGGGAGGAAAAAGGGGAGGAAAAAAGAGGAAGAGAAAGGGAGCTGGATTGGGGGACGAAGGACGGAGAATGACGCTAGGCGAAAGAGGGGCGGAGAAAACGCGTTTCAAAGACGTTAAAACTTTTGACGTTCTGCAGCTGGTTCGATTTTCAATAAAATCTGATTTCCGACGAGCACGCCGAGAGCACGTTTTCATTTCGCGAGATGCTCAAAGAGGTAACAGTACCGAGCGCGCAGCGGAATACGGTTTAAACGTCGAATCGTCGACGTCGTCCCGCTCGCTGTAAGAGAACTTTGTACAACCTTGTTCCTTTACACATTTATGTACATATATATATAAATATATATATATATATATATATACAGGTAACCGTGGCCTCTTTACGTGATAACAGGTGGCGTGCGCGGGAAAAACGGCTAATTCTTTGGGGGAAAAAGTAAATCGAAAATGTGGAATGAGATCTTTCAAAGCCGTGGATAGTCGAACAGTTTGGCGTCACTGCTTCGAGTGGTTTTAAGCCCCGATACCTCTAGAACATGAGCGACTTTCACACACGTTGTATGGGAAAGTAGCACGAATTTATATAGATTCTTCGATTTTTAAGAGATATATTTATCGTGACTCATTGAATTTGTTATTAACCAGTAATCAGAAACGTGTATCTTTCGTTTCAAATGTAAATATGAATGTGTCTAGTCAAACAGAATTTTTTATCAGAATGAAAAAATAAATAATTCGATTAATTAAATTATGGCCCGTTCGAAGAATGTTAATATATGAGAGCTATATTTGCAGGAATTTTAATGTTTTATCTCATATTCTCATCGTATAAAATAATTCGAGAGCAAATCTCTCTGGTTCACCGTCCAGTTTTATGCATGTTACTGTAATACTGTTTTTCATAATACTTCTTCTTCCGTCCTTTCGTGATACTTTATTGAATTTTTTTTATCGAATATTTCTTACGTTTATATGTATATTATTGTTGATATATACAGGTATTCTTAATACAAACGATTCATCGAAAATGCAGAATTACGTGTTCTTTGAATTACGACATCCACATAACTCGTCCTATCCAGTTAATGCATTCGCTGCTACATCTCGAACCCGAGTAATTTCATTGAGGAATGAGGAGTTTCGTCACGTACTTTTATGATATGCATGTGACACTCCCTTGAAAACACCTATATGACGTCTTTGAGAATTACTTAGCATAACTAATGGAAATTGTTCCAATTCCACTTATCTACAAACTTCTCTCATCTTTTTAACAAGCCACAGATCAATATGCACGCAGGAAAAACACGTCAAGTCTAATTTTTATGACGCTTGCCCGAAGAGATGTACTTTAATGCAACGTAGTTGGAAAGGGAAACTGTTTAGGTCTAAAAATACAAGCCTTTTAAAAATAGGCTACAAATCCGATCAATATCTTTTACACATTCAGGAGGATACCAAGAACACATATTTACATCGAAGTATGGAATTAACTACTGAATTTTAAAATTACTGTTCTATAAAAAATAGGATTTCACATAATGGGTCTGCTCGACACTTACTCGAACACCTTAAACATCTCACCTATTTTTTACGGTCCAAGTGACGTATTAAATTTGATAGTCGTTATTTCAAGTACATGTTAAAATAACATTTCGTTCAATAATCTCTCTGATATAGTTGTTCCATTAAGGATCGTATGTAGGTCATGGCCATCGTAAATCGTTATACGTGGCCTCAATATTGACTATTACTCTATGATAAAGATTATTGATTATTCTAAACTGTCGCAAGATACAACTGTACGAAAAATTGTTTGTTTGTTATAATATTTACTCCGTCTCGAAACAAATAATATTTTTCACTATAATTGAAAATACCATCACACGCACATTCGGACACGCATCAAAAACAAACGAATTATTTTAAGTGTTCAAGTTAATCAGTATCAGTATCCATACAAATCACTGGACAGTGAACGCACTGAAACTATTCTTATCGAGATCTCTCCGCATTTTCAGAGTATATACCATTCCACAAAGAAAAGTCATCTTTTTCCTGTACGACCTGTTACCAGAACCGAGTAATCTGCTTCCATGGAGCCGACAACGTGTATAAAAAATAATGCTGTATATATTTTGTGTTAGTGCAGGATATCCTCGGTTAGACTTTGTTAGACTCTTTGCTGGTAATATGCGTTAGCGTGAGTTGCTTGTTACACGGTTACATTGCGTGTGATCCTCTCTCTGCTGAACAACAAAGGCATGATGTACAACAGATCGTGTTCCCAAACAAGAGGTAGACAGTAAGAAAGAAAGAGAGAGAGAGATAGAGAGAGAGAGATGTACGTGTAATGAGCAAGATAGAAGAAGATTAATAGACACTGAAAAAACGAAAACACGAGAGAAGCAGCTGTTCGAGGAGAGATGATACATATTCCTCTGTCCTCCGATCGAAACGAGAATCTCCTCTTTTTTTCCAAAGAGAACAAATAAAATAATAACGAAAAAGAGATATATATAAAAAAAAAGAAAATAGAAGGGAAGAGAGACTGGTCGCTTTTTCTTCCGTAAAAATCATCCGCCGAAAGAACAACTCTCGCGTGTATCAGCACAGCGCGTCGGAGCGCACCGACCACGAAGCACACATCCCCCTCTTTTGCATGTCTCCTTTTATCAGTCTTTTATTATATTCTTTTTTTCCCCTCCCCCACCCATCTCCGTTCTCCTCTTTTCCCTCCAGCCCTTCCCAAAAATAGCAGCCGACTGACTCGAGGTGTTTTTGCAACGGTATCGAGCGATAATACCTCGCCGTACGATAAAGTACAACACCCGTGGTCCACGGTTTGGAATTGGCTTTGAATCATCGTTATTTATTTCACAAATCTGTTCAGTACAAAAATATTACAGTATATATATATTCTCGTAAATATATATATATATTTAAGTATATGTATATATTTTGCTTTCATTTTATTTCCTTCGAATCCTTGTCGCTTAATTTACACCTACCGTGTAATGCTAGGATAAAAATTCTAATTGCTAGGTACATCGGGCGTGTGTTCATTCTCCATAGCGGTTTTCTTTTTTTTTTAAATATGCGTGATAAAGCGATCTACGCTGGTGCAGACGTAGACGGGCGTATGGCGCGTTCGGTTCTTTCGCTACTTCCATCAGCAAACAGAAAATTTATGTTTGTAAGTGACAATGAGCACGCGTGATTCGCGATTGATCGATTTACAATTTAGTCGAGTACGACGCAGTCTGTCGAATTTAATTTTTCAAATTATCGTTAAAAGGAAAAGTCGTTTATTGACGAGATTGACAAATAGTTTTATTATATGTAGCTTATTCGTGCAAAATTCAAGTTTAAACTTTGAGTATGCGGTCATCGTTCGAATTCTCAATGTCTGCAACTCGATCCCATAATCATTCTATGAACGCATGACCAATCGGTACTTCTCGCCTATCGTCCTCTATTTTCAGAACGAAATAGAGAAAGGAAGTGATTGTATTAGATTTATTAATCTGGAGAAGATCAAATTGTTCTTACAAATGACTCTGCTCTACGTCAACTACGTCTACGTTGCTCGTACGTTACACCGGACTCATTACCAGTAATATAATAATCCTAAACGAATGTTCAAAATTTCCGAGTTCGTTCATTCGTCTGTGTATTCCGTATGTACGTCGAATCCGATTCGATATACTCTGGACGTACTTACGTAAGTTGAACTGAGAAATTACCAGAGCCAGCGAATTTCGGTCATCGATATTACTCTGTCTCGTATCAGAATGCAGTATGATAAAAGTACGTAGGATGGAAACGCGTTCTGAAGAATGAAAGATCGATCGAGGCAACGGTACGAGCGTTTAATCGCATGGAGGATTCGGAGCTAAAGTAGCAAAATCCCTTTTCGAGCTTAGAGTCCTGGTATATCTAGTACACGTGTGATGGGAGGCGAAGATCGATCGACCAGAGATGAACTTCGAAAAGAATCGCGAAGCTCTGGCCAACGCGCTACGAACGGGAAACTGGCACATTCAGGGCCAGTGACCAGTCACAGCGTTGCAAATTTCCGGCTACGAACCTCTCTGGAAGTGACTATCGCGACTTTTGTCGGCCATATTAGCTAATCAAGCGAAACAAGCAAGAGCGAAAGAGGAGAAAACAACTGGACGAAACGGTCTGTTTCAATTGAACTTCGCGCGTAGGTGTGCGGTTTCCCGCAAGATCGCCGTGTAGGGAGATGAAGTCATTCAAACTCCGCCTTTTGTTTCGTCCTTTATTTCCGCGGAACTTTTCCCACCAGCTACAACGTACGGAAAATACAGGGGGAGAACTCGATCTAGCAAGCCAGCCACAGAGAAGAGAGCAGAGTATCTTTACCTCTGCCTCGTCGATTCGATCATGCACGTACTTTGAGAGCATGCATACGAATTTATGTTCTATCGTGCGTTGCAGAACCAACGATATCGACTAAAATGAAATCGAACGAAATAGAAAACGTTCATCATTTGGTGATAACCCGAACGGACCTGTCGTCGATCGTGTCGATACTCGAGCGTTTATAATTATACGCCTCGCGGAATCTGCTCCGATCCAACTGCTTCCCTGCGATGTTTTCGAATCTATTCGTACGTTTATACCTCTACGTACACGCGTCACGGCGGTGGAAGTGGTACGACGAAAATAGAAAGATCGCCACGTTCGTTAGAAACCGAGGCAGAGGAGAGCCTGAGAAATCAGAACCCTGACGCTATCGAAGACCATCCTCGCCTTCGAATTTCTTGCAAGAAAGTTCTTCGGAGGAAGTTCTCGAAAGTTTGCGCGACCTATCCAGCTGCTGACTTGTGCCGAATCAAACGACTTCCGTATTTCGACTGACGAAACGTACTAGAAACCTGGAAAAACTTGCGAGCGCGTAACTATAATGAATGAAGCCAGAATAGCCGTGGATGAAAGGATGATGCTAAATGAGCTGGATTGGCAGTTCGTGTATACATATGTATGTACGTAGAACAGAATACGATGTAACAGAACGCACTTGTAAGTGGAAGGGAGGGACAATATTCCAATAGAGCGACAATATTCGACGTCGATGTGGCGATCTTACGCTGTGCCATCGGTTACTGGCCGATTTGTGCCACAATGGCAGGCAGCTGCACGCAGTTGGGAACGACAACCGTTCCTGGTTATCCGGACAAACATACGACGGCTAACGGCACACACGACCAGTACCAACACCACCACTGCCAGCACACCGCCGCCCGTCGTCACCCTCTCTGCACGAGGATTCCTCGGCTCGTGAGAGGATCGCAAGGGCGGAGGCATCCAACAGGGCAGCTGGAACTCTGACCTTGTCGGGGCGCAACCCTCTCTCTCTTCTCCAGTGAGACACCACTGGCCAACACTGTAACAGAGAGAGAGGAAGAAAGAGACTGGACGTTGATTAGCGTGCATAGGGAGAGAAAAAAAAAACGTGAAAGGCGGGATGGATGGATCCCTTTTCAGTATGCTCTAACCAACGCAAGACGATCTTTTACAACGCAAGGCCCGACATTTGCATTTACGCCGACATCGATAACGGCGTTATATTTCTCGCCAACTGCGCTCTGCAGAATTAGAGTATAATAAGAGAGACAGGCAGAGAGTAAATAGAGAGAGAGAGAAAGAGAGAGTTACGTGGAGGGAACACGAAGCTCTTTACGTATAAGGATGGTAGGAACTAGGATAAAGAAGGTCGGTGAGTAGCATTATATCTCTTAAGCTCTCTCCCTCTCTCGTATTTCTCTGCGCTATGCCACTGCATTCGAGGCTATGTAACCCCGTTTACGTATGTATGTACAGCAGCCCAGTCACTATGATACATGTGTGCGGTTTCAACGAAACAACCGTACAACTGTCATAGAAACTGTTTTGGGACGCCAGTTTTCTCTCTCCCGGCGACGATTCTCCCAACGATACCGACGACCAAACCCCTCCAACTACGTTTTACCCCATCGTCGTTCCCTCTGCCAGGTGATACTCGCGTGAAAAGATTCGCTGCAATGGAGAAGAGATTATTAGCTCGACGAGGGAAAACTAGGAACGAGAAAATTCACAGTTATGAGAAACGGCGATTTATTTTCAACGGTCGTTGGATAATTTCAACACGATGAACACGTTAGACCAATTTGATACTCGTGGAAAAAAATCTATTGTCTTCTAACGGTCGATGAAATTTATATCTACGTTGATTTAGCTTGCACCATCTCCCTGTTCCGTGAGACAGATATCGGTTAAAAGCTACCTTGACAAATTGATTCATTTTTAATGGCCGCAAAAGGTCCGGTGCTTCGCCTTGTTTCACCTAGCACGAAACTCGAAATGGATGGAAATGGGTTAATAATAATTTCACCGTCTCATACCGGAGATTCGTAAGTTCCCTCAACGAAGCGGAGTGTTCGTATATATTTGGATTTAGTCTCGCATAACCTATCGCCTTGTCTAGGTCAAAATCAGAGGAATATCGCGCCGCTGCTGGATAGAACCAATAACTAACGTTGATTGATCGTACCAACCTACCAAAACGAAAATAATGACACGCTCGAGACATCGGATGAATGCAAACAAAGGGGACATCTAAAGCGAAGGATAGATGTTTGAATGCAATAACCATTCGGACGTAAGATAAATGCATCCTGCAACGGATCGCTACCATCGCGTGTAAAAAAATTGGTATACGCGTAAAAAAGAAAAGACGAGATGAAATATTTTCTACGGTTGAAAGTTCGCTTTAGGATATAACAGTATCCATCAAAGAGGATTAAGAGGATCACGCAGCTCAACCTTAATTTTCACAATTCATCATATAGGATTTTTTATACTTTTCTAATCTTTCGTTCTATAATTATTTTTCTATCCTGTTTTAATCAATTCGAATATTGTCCGATTTTATATCTGATCTCGGATATGAAAAAGTTGTTTATGGATATTTAAAATTTACTTTTTTATTCCTACTAATAAAATATGCATAATACGAGAAATATAATATGCATATAATTTTAATATATGTTAATCTAAAATGGCTTTCTGTAACATGTTTCATAAAAGTACACTACAGCATATAAATCAATTTTTTAACAAATAAAATATATAAGCTAAAAAGTTGAGTATTCACAAATTCCGAAAGCTTGGAAATTGCAGCGATGAAATTGTAGAATGAAACGAATTTTTCGAAAGAAAATTTCGAACTGTACAATCATATTCAACAAGAGACGTTGAAATTATCTCATTACCGACGAGTATAAAACATAAAATTTCCATATGTACACAGACATATGTATATTTCCAAAGCAATTTTTAACTTCCATGAATCATCACGTCGTGTTATCGCATCAAATATGGTCTCACAATACAAAGGATTAAATAAAACACTTTTGTTCAATTAATACATCGTATTCTTGAAAAATCGTCTATAAAATATACTTATAAAAGTATCTTAATTACTACAATATATTGCAGTTATTTTACTTCGTTAAAATTAAATATTATTACGAGATTTAATGTTCCATAAAGAATCTCATTTTTCGGACTTATATCGTCAGATTTCCGAAACACCCGGTGCAATACAATAATCTCACGCTTCAGCCGAGCACGCGGTAATAATGATAGAGCTAAAGAAGACAAACGTTACTCTGAACATTTGAAACGCGCGTTTAAATCCGAATCTCACATTATCCGGACGTTTCAGCACGCAAACATTTCGTTTGAACAAACGTATACGCCAAATACTACGAGAGTACGAGTAATGCCCGCTATTTGAATAATTCGCGATCCAAATATGACGTGGTATTCCAAAGAGATTAGCGATCATTAAATATTGCATTAAATCTAGTTAAATCACTGACAGGAATAGATGAACGATTTGAAACCGAAATGAAACAACTCCAAATGCACCCATTTGTCCGTTTCAATTAAACCACGCTATCTTTTCCAACGATCTATTACTATAGATCAATTTTAACTTTCACAGGTTAATTCTAAAGAGATATATTCACGGTACGGTAGATTTCAGGGGAAATCAGAAGGGAATGGCAGAAAAATTCGCACCATACACATGCGGAAACTTCGCGAAATAATGCTGGCGAGAGGTTCTCCAGGAGTCGCGACCGGAAGTCGAGCGGTAACTGCGGCGTGCGTATGTTCCAAGCATTGTTAATGCTTCAAAAACAAACATATTCGTGTGCACAGAAATCATATTGTTCACGTCTCGAGCGAATATGAAAAACTTAAGGGAGTATCCTATTGTAGCCGAATTAAATAAGTCGAATTCTTTTTCTTATTTTCCTGAAACAATGTAGTCTCGAAGATATCTATACGAAGTTCTGTATCTGAATTTTCAATATTCAGGGAATTGTGGTTGTTTGGAAAATGATACAATAAATAAGGTAGTTTACTCGAAGCCAATGTTCCTTGAAATATTTTCCATGTCATGTTAAAGTCTACTTGACCTATTGCCTCTGAACTTCGAGCGCACCTATTTTTATTTCTTTCAGTCGGTGAAAGGTAGGGAAAAAGTAAAAATTCATTGAAAGTAACAAAAGCGACGTGAAAACTTTCTCTTCAAAATCCATTCGAAGAATTATACGACCATTAATTCTGGATATATCTTCTTAAAAAATTTACGAATGTTCTAAAACATGGATAAATGTCCCAAATTCCTACGGAATAGATGATGTAAATATTTCATTACAAAGGCACTACAAGCCTAAAGACTATAGAACTATCAATCCCGGTTATATCTTCTTAAAAAATTTACGAATCTTCTGAAACACGAATAAATGTACGTTCTAAATTCCTATTGAAAAACCGATGTAAATATTTCATTAAAAAGATACTAAGTAGCTGAAGAAACGCTTTACAATAAAATACTATCTTTAACGAGAAGCTAAATCCGAAGGAAGTTCAACAGAGCAGATATAATTCTCCTGTCTCTGTCTCGTGGTATTTTCGACAGATCGCGAAGCAACGGGAAAGAATCCAGTTTCTACAACTTGGTGACGACTTGTCTCGGCGCCGCGTGATCAGTTTCGAGTACCTAGTCTGCAGACTCTTCTCCTCCATTGACTAAACTGGCGAAGTTTAAAGCGAAGGCGAATGCGAAAGAAAGAAAGGCAGCAAAAGCCTCTTGCGTGCACAAGAAAACGAAACTCTTTGCAATAGCTACGTGTCCCTAACCGGTGATCCTCTTATCGAGCAGCCCGTCGATTTCTACCCTGGTCGTTCATCCGTGAAGTACGGCCCTGTAATAAGGGCGAGAAGATATGCCATTAAGGAGCTTATCGCGAAAAGGATCTTCTCTTGCTCTCAGTTTCTTAGTTGTACTCCATCACCCTTTTCTCTCACCGATCCTTTCTTTACCTGCCTCTGAAACTCCTCCTCGCCCCTCTCGAAGATATTAAACAGGTGATAGAGCATCGCGGAACCGTCCACAAGTATAATACACCGTTTCGAAGCCGCTTTGCTCGAGATCGATGAATGGTCTGCGCGAATATCGGACGCTGCGAGATCGAACGGCTGATTTTCCAGGTGAAAATAACTGTATAGTGGAGAATAAAAGGAGGCGGAAAGAAACGAAAGGAAAATAGACGGCGAGAAACATTTGACGAATAGCGGCTCAATTAGCGAACAAGTGGAGCCAGCGTTGAGATTGTTCGCGTACTAGAAACGATCGAGCACGCTTGACACAAAGGCTCCTGTATGTAAGAGGATTCCGTTAGTTAGCTCGATAATGTTCCTAGAGACTTAGAGAATCGGGCATCCTGTTTGAAAGTGTCGCGAAATCAAATTCTCCTATTGGTTAAATTTGGAACGGAGAATTTTAATAGAACTCTGGCGGAGTCGATCGCGAAGAATATCGCGCTGACAGGTGACTAATAGAATTTTCATGGAATCCTAAGTGCAGTATCGGGATGTCCAACTTTATTTTAGAAGCGCATTTTGGTCTGAAAATATTTCAGTAATGTGTATTTGAAATTATTTCACATGGATAGTGCAGGTCGGTTAAGATTGAATCGAACCTTACACGTTCTTTTCAAATGCCTCTTGTTAACGTTGCGTATCTTAGAAACGTTTAATCCTTTACAATCAGAGTGATGTTTGAAAGAAGAATTTAATTCTAAGATAAAAATGCAGAAGCTAGTAATTGTTATAGGCTGATCCGTATCAGGCGAATGATAATATGTAGCAATAAAATAGCATGAAACAGGCGAGTAAAAACGGACATAGAAATGATTTTAAGAATTTTATGTACAAAATATAGTGTGAAAAATATGTTTTAAATGCTAGAAGTTCTTGAAAAATAGCGTGTCAGTCTCTTTTAACTCCTCTAGCAATGTCTATTTCGATGGGCGATAGATTGAAATATTTTCCACAAATGAAACATTTTAGCTTGTATTCCCTAGAAATATGGAAATAAATCGATACTTTCCAATTATCTGCAAAAAGTATTGGCAATACACAGTCTTATTTTCCGATGAAGCGTTGTTTTTTATCAGCTTCTATGTATATTTCATTTTCATACTATCAAACGTTTGTAATCATATGAAAGTATTATAAAGTGATACAAAATTTACACTCTGGCCTAATTAGTTATTACATAAACGTTACATTAGAACATAATGATATGCTAATAGTATTTTGCTGTGAATAAACACGAAAACTTCCGTATTTACTATTTTTCCAATACACAAACTTAAAGTTGGCTGCATGTTAAGTGATCGAAGTTTCCTTAACAGCAAGATTACTCGCGAGAGAACAAACAGTACCGGTTAACGAAATTAAGACAAGTCCGGAACAACCACCTAACAAACGCCAGTATTTATAAGGATATTTTTTGCAAAGTGGCGTGAACAAAGAAGTTATTTAAGCCGCTAATTTACAGCAACTCTACCTGCATAGCTAACAAACCAGCCAAACGACAGCAGCGTCGAGGTTGGAAAAATAAAACGGAGCTTGGACGGAAGTTGGCGAAGGAGATCGATCGATCGTCAAAAGAACGGTGCAAGAAGACGTGCGCAAAAAGAATAATTACGCTAATGAAGGGAGCACGATGTAATTAAATGCAAGGAGGATCGAACCAGTGGACTATGTCGTCGTCACGACTGGACGCAAAACGACGAAACACTTTTTATCGCTAACCGTGAAACGTCCTTTGACCAAGAAACGAACTACCATCGAGACCAATAGAGAAATGTCGCATAATACTAATTTCCACTTCGCCTCTATCAAGGGTTTCTCTACTAATGTACAAGGAAACCCACTGATTCTCTACGCCAACCATGTGTTAAGGTCGACAGAGTTGTGACACGAGAAACTGTTCCTTGTATCAGAGATGTGACATAACGTGTCTCGTCCTATGACACCACACTCTCTCCCTCTAAAGTCTCTCTGCAGTGCAACGAAGAAATTCATGGGATTAATCTGAACGTGTCTAGAAGATGATTAATTATTTACTACGAGACGATGTACCAGCACCTTCATTCTTCACTGTTTCAAATTTATTATATAAGCTATTTTCATTTTTAATTCTTAGTTACAAACCATCCATTCCGCTAAAATCTCCACTTAGTACAGCGGGCTAATTCATAGAATTAATCTCAAGATATCTAGCAAACGATCAATAATTAATCGTAAAACGATACACCATTTGGGCCTCTTAATTTACAATTATGTATAACGAATCTATTACCGTTTTTTTTTTCTTTTCTTTTGGAAACGACTTTTCCTTTTGTAGTTTCGTTTTTAGTGTTCGGTTACAGACAAAAAACTATAGGCGTTGATCTTGGATCGATTTGATCGACGAGTATACAACACGTGCGTCAATCGTGAAATCCGCTTATCCATCGCGATACTAACGTCGATACGAACGATTGCACATTGTTGGACAACCGATACGGGATGGGGTGGTTTCTACGAATTTCACACCACGATCCATTCGGTTTGTAAGCAGAGAATTACGAGCCGATACGCCGCGTCTTTCGTCTCGTTCGCGTCGTTAAAGTCTCGTATACTTTCGACCACCTTGCGTGACTAAAGTATCACCATTTTCAAGAACGGGAACGCTTCCAGCGCACCTATTCATCGCTGAAACGGCGCACACAATGCTGTTCTTGGGGTTAAGAGCCTATCGAACGAACGAACGGGCCGGCGAAACGGTTCTTGACGTTGACTGACGAGACACGAAGGAAGCGGATAAGACGAAACGACCTTCGACCGTGCTACCACCACTCGTGAAAAAGGGTTCTAGGTGGATAGAGCGAACGTTCGAGGATTTAAGTATCGTTACGGTGCTCGCTGAAATTACTAAAAGATTAAATACATTTTTCTGCGATACTATGTAAAATATGGATAACGTTACAATATCCTCTAGAGTCTTTAATAATCCCAAAATAGGGAGAGAGAAATTAAACCTAAAAAGTAGTATAAAATAAGTACGAGTTCTATAATACAGTAGAATACTATTTATAATTATCTAATGATATATCGGTTATCGATTATCTGGATAAAACTCTCAGATAAAGAGAAGTGGAAATTACACATTCAGCTTAACGTAGGTTTTGATAAGAATTGTATTTAATTTGCATTGCTGTACAGAAATATAAATGATCATGTGTAACGGATTATATTGACATTTTTATCGTTGAATAATTAATATCCGGATAATCAACGTTCTACTGTAATAAATATATCAAGTGGTATATTCCTAAAGAAAATTCACAATTGAAAACAATCGATAGCTGTGCTTGCGATTTCAATGAATGCACCGTGGTGCTCGTAAATGCTCGAACGCTCGGCGTACCGTGCAAAAGGGGAAGATATCACGGAGAGAATTGCTAGAGACAAGACTCTGTTCATGTCTGCACGGTGCCGCTGGACTTCTGCAGTATCTGTATCTCAGGGTGTTTCTGTTTAATGTGACCCTTCAAGTTATCCAGTCGAGTCCTACGACAGCCACAGAGCGGGCACACGTAATTTCCTGGATTGTGCGTCAAATAATGATTCTTTAGATTCGACACGACCCGACCGCATAGTTTGCATTTGCTAGTGTACGTATACGGCAGCTTTTCGAAAAACTCCGACAGATTAACTCTCTGAATGTATGTAATCGGCGCGCACTCAATGCCCTGAGGGGTTAAAAGTGTCGTATCTGCAAATAGAGAAAAGTCGTGTGTGAAAAACGGCCATCGACGTGATTCGATCCGGAGAGACTGCCTCACTCCGTTTACCCTCGAGCTCTTTTCTTTTCGCTTTGATCAGATTCACTCTACTAGGAAAGGGTTACATAGGTAGCCGACATACGGCGTGTCTCTGTAGTCTGCACGTATCTCTGTGTGTATGTATGTATACTGTTCTTAGGTATTCCGCGTAGGTAAGTCTCTCTGTATGTATTCGTGCAGGTGAGCACGCGAGCACAGAGAAAGATCGATGTTCGATTATTAGATGTCATGCACTGTCGATAGAAGAGACTGGTCGCACACGTTACATATTTACGCATGTGATATCATAGCTGTGTTTATTATATTATATGTATATAATATATATAATATTATATATAATATGATATATATAATGTATATAATATAATATTATATATATAATATATATCTGTTATCGATCACTGATTAGACAAATATTGTACTTTAAATGGAAAGGCACCAGAAAAAACCTCTATGGAAAAGTCTGCTTTTTTTGCAATAGCCTTCGGGCCTCAGAGACTAGTTCATAATGACTATTTTATCGAGCCACATCGGCCCATGAGATTTAACGTTTCTTTCATTATTTTTTCTCTCTTTTACTTTTTCTTCTTTTCGTATACTCAGTCTTCGACGTCTTTCATAATCTACGATGTATGTATAAATATAAATATAATATAATATAGGATTTATAAATAAGTGTATAAATAGTTACTTAATACTGATCTTCCTCTCTCCACCTGCGGAACAAGGCTGCCATTACGAGATACAAAGTTGCGCGTAAGTATTATAACAGTGCACACCGGGCATGGAACTGGATGAAATACCCTAGACGCGTCGATGTTTCGTTAACAGGGGCGTTTTACGAGCAATTTCGAGGAGAATTTCCTCGCGGTCTGGAAATCATCCCCGCGCCTGTGGTAAAAGCCGGGGCTGTACAACGTTTTGCCGGCCAAAGTATCGCTCTTATGCAAATCTAATCAAAGGCAATATCTCGAGGTTTCTCTCTGGCTCGATGGAAATTCAGTTTTGGTCAGAAATGAACGAGTGGGCTCGCGGGGTGAGCGCCGCTGTGTTAAAAGTCAGTTCCATGCGCCGCGTGCATACGAAAGAGCAGCGGTGACGGCAATTTTTGAGAGGGAAAACCTTTCCGTTTCGGAACGTAAACACACTTTGTTAGACTTAGAATTTTCTCGCTTGCTCTAAAGAGGAAAAAAGATTAAAATCCTCGCGTGTACGCGAGAACACACGCGCGGGAGGTAGTATTCTACGAACACGATATTTTTTTTCTTTTTTTTTTTCTCTGAAGAGACATTTGCACAATGTTCCTTTACACTCTTTGTACTCGAATTGATTCCGTGAACGTGAGATCTAAGTGATTCTACGAACACTAGTAATAAAAGAAAAGGAGATACTAGCGACCGTTTCTTTTGGAAACGGCTAGATATTCAATACGCTTAACACTTAGCCAACCGAATGGGGAGATCTCCCCTCTGTGAAAAACATCGCAGCGTGACCAAACAGGGAGATCTCCCTTTTTGACTTTAGCAACGTGTTTTATTTGTTGTTGTTGTTGTTATTATCAGTTATTGTCTACCTGGAATTATTCCCAATTAATTGCGCCACTTTTTCTGCTTTTATAAAGTACAGTGTATAATAGAATACACCAATTTAGTGATGTCAAAATTAATTAAAACGTTGCATTGACTAAATAAAGTTATAATCGAACGATGCCACACTGCAAGCAAATATTAAAATGCATTATGAATTTTCAATTCATATTCAAGTCACGTTATTTATCTTTAGTCATTTTTAATGTTTTTAATTTTACCTATATTTTTTTATACTTAAAATATATACCTTTAGTTTGATATTCTGTACAAACAATATGTGAAATTGTTAAATAAAATCATTACCACAAAATATAATTAAATACTTAAATAATTTTTAGACTTCTTTGTCTTTTAAGTAAGTAGTGAATATTAGTCTTCGATGCCTGGAAAAGTGCGCGGTGGACAACGCATAGGTTGGTTTGTTCGAGCGCGGTGGAAACGTATGGCTCGCTGTGGCGCGCACGGTTGGCTAAGCGTTAATTATTTTCTTAATAATAAAAACTCTTAAATGTTAAAATATAGACGTATAATAAATAATTAGATTCTCTTAGGAAAATATCAAACGAAGAACACGATTAAAAATAATCGAGCGAAGCGTCGCGATCTTCGCTCGCTGATTAGGGAAATAAAGCAAATGATTGCCAGTAGTACAAGACAAGCACGACGAAGGGCGAATTTCATATGGAACTGCGACCACGCGTTCCATCTGTGTCATGGAATGTGCAAGCAACGCGGCCGTTTTACGCGACAATCTCGGGTTCTGCTTCCTCTCTGTCCGATGTCCGTCTATCGCGCGTATCTTTTCGATGTTCTATACGACCGCTGTGTATAAATATAGCCGAGCACACGATTTGCATCAGCGCGTGCGCACGTGTTTTTATTTCTTCTTTTTTTTTTGAATTTCTTATCACTCTCCGTCGTTCGTATTTCGCGAGCGTAACGTATGGAATTCTAGGTGAGGTAAGCCGGTTCCGATTTCGCTAAAAAGTGTTTATGCTCTAAGCGCATGAACGGCGATATCAATGATCCCTCTCGTATTCCGTGCTTCAATTTAATATGCCTTTTCAAATTATCGGATCTCGTTAACGATATCATGCAGATTTGGCACTGATATTTATCGGGGAAATGCGATTTCATGTGCTTTTTTATGTTCGCTACGCTCTTGCCACAAAGCTTACAACACTCCGTACCGAGGTTGGAGTGTTCTAGCTTCGACTGACTCTCTTTACTTATATCCTTCTCTTTTTTGCAAGTTCCTGATGTTCCTGGAATTACAAGATCCCGTTTCAATTAAATTGCTTAGGCGACTAATTATGATTACCGACAATCTCTACCAGACTCATGATAAGGTATATATATATATATAAAGAGAGAGAGAGAGGAATATATAAACGTGTATATGCCTCTCGTATAGTATCACACTCTACGGTCAAGTCAAATAGGTTGCAGAAAAGAGGGGATTCTCAATTAATTACGTTCTCCAATCAATATTACGATGATATTATTACGAAACACCACACTCGTATATAGTAATATTACGCATGTCTAGAAATGCCTACTCGTAACCAAAGATATAAATATAAAACGTTCATATCACGTAAAGAAGAAAAACAAAAAACGCACACCTACGATCTCATCATCGTCCAGAATAACAAAAACGCAAAGCTAAACACAACACGTCGTCACACAACCGACGAGAACAAACCAACATCGAGAAAAGAGAAAGAGAGAGAAAGAGAGAGAGAGAGAGAGAGAAAGAAAACGTATAAAAAAATAGGACGGCATGTAAAAAAGTAAAAGGTAAAAAACAAATACAAAATCAGATATTAAAACGGGATACGAAATGTAAAAAAAGAAAGAGTTCCGTTTAAAAGACCAACGCAAGCGGAAGAACCCTGGTTGAAAAGGTTTGCTTGTAAATGCGATACTTTCTCGAGACGAGTGCTAGTATAGTCGGAGAAAAAAAATGGTGCGAATTTGTTCCGCTGCTACTTTCTTTTATCGACGTACTAGTTGACACACACACGCGAGATGCATCCTGGAGATTAATCGATATTCAACGTTTGCCAGAATAGCGAAATTCTATGTCAACATCCTTTGCCATTTGTCGAGCATCGATACGAATTAATGCAATCGTGAAACGACGACGACGACGAAGACTATGACAACAACGACGACAGCGATGATGTTACTGCAAGATCGAGCGCCAACAGTTTTTAAGAAATGGTAAACGGACCGTCACGTTAGCAACAAAATCCTTGCATTCTTTGATAGCATTATATGGATATCGTTTAGACAGCGTAACGTGTTTCTCTTGAGTCAGTCACACGACGAAATTCGTCTCAAGAAAAATCACGATTACAAACGAAAACGATTCGGGTTATGTAACTCGCTTTGCTACCGAACCGGTGCGACGCTCGTGTTCGATCCATCGATCACTTACGTAACAAGAACGCAGCACGTGCATGTCCGTATTTTGTTGCTAATATTTCCATTTACTTATGTACTGGTGATACAGGTTAAAACAAACAGGCGCAAGAGAGACGCGTGAGAATGTAAGATTAAGATCGCTGGTTACGGTGACGTAAGAACGTGGCAAAAGGTATTTGTAAGAGGATAGAAAAAACAGTGTGTAAAAAGACATGCACAGAGAATCCCGCCGTAATGATATACGTATAATATATACATACATACACACGTACATATAATGGAATATGCATATCTACATATATATACGTGTATATATGTATTCGTTTATAAATAAAGTTTATAGCTATGCAAAACACACGTATATACATTTGTTCTCACGCAGATGAGACACACCCACACGCACTCACTCGCTCTCGCGCGCAATCACACCGTGGATTCCGTTATTTTGTCACGCACACGCAAATCCACCGATGTGTTAGATGTAAAGTAAAGATGTGAGTAAATAGGTGTATGTAAATACACGTGTGTATGTATGTATATATATATATATATGTAATATACGTAAATATGTATAGAGTAAGAGAAAAAAAAGAAGGAAAGAAACACAACACATACGAGACCTTATGTACAATCATCAATCATACAGCCGTCTCAAGAATCTCAATCAAACAGGAGTACTGTCCATTTGCTGATACCAACAGAAGAAATGTCCACTTTGCCGATACCACTTCCCAAGGGAAAAAGCAACTGTTCTTTTTTTTTTTGTTGCTTTCTTTTTGCTTAATTTTTGTTTTCTCTTTTTTTTTGTTAGATGTAATGTAGTTCCTATTGCTTTATTAACACATTGACGGGTTTGTAACTACTATAATGACATAGCAAATGCACGATACCATCACCACAACACCAAGGATGAATATTGTGTCATCTATACCCATATATATATATACATATATATATAATACACGCACACATATCGTCAGTTCATGTATGCATATATATACATACACATATACAGGATACATCGTAGCAAAGAAAGTTGTTCGTGTTTTCTAAAAAGAGGTTACCACTCACTACGCTTGCCAGACTTGGAAATAGAGGGATGCTCGCTTCGTACGCCTATATGTACGACTCGACGCGCAAAAATTCTTGCAAACGTGCATGCACATCTCCCTCGATTTCTTAGATCTCCGGTATTTCCGTCGCTATCTTTTGCCATTATTCATTTTATTATTCGCAATTGTATCAATTACTACAAAAAAGAAGCGAGAAAAAAAGAAGTGAAAAAGGAATGTATCCTCGAATTATTCCAAGATAAACTCACTAAAAACGACGAGAAAGATGACTTATCAAAATCGTCGTTGCAATAACGGTGTTCAAAGGAGCTAAGGAAATACGTGAAATCTAAATGTAATTTTGATCATAATGATAGATATTTATAGGTCTTACCATCGAGTCCGTCGAGCATTTCTGGGGGATTATGGTGTTCAGACGATTCAATTGTTGACACACCATCGCTTAGCGTGCCTGTTGTTGCTCCTCCTTCTTCTCCTAGCAGTCCAACTGGATGACCCTGCACACGTCACGATTATACATTATAAATTCAACTGTGAAAAAAGACACTTCGAGGGATTTATCTACAAATTCTTCCGTCTCGAAAAATATCAGTTACTTTACTGCTATCGCGTTCGTCTACTATGCTAAATTAAGCAACGATTAAATAAAACGAAATATAAGAGGAACAAATGTTAATTTTTGAATAATCTGACCGGGTAGGGATTCATTTTAGATATATTTAATTTACTTGGAAACATGAGATGGTGAAAGAGATAATATCGAAAATAAAACTGAAATCGAAATGTTATTTTTAGATCTTTCCTAAGAACCTTTTTTAGCTCGTATAAATAAAATCAACTATTGAAATCGATTCAAATTAATAAAACGGAATTACGTCGTCTTTTATTTACTATTTGCATAATAAATAATAATAAGTATGGGAAGAAGGGAGAAGAAAGTATAATTTGTCGATTTCATGAAAGACAATTCATTGAAATCTTAAATGCATGCTTAATCGTACATTTCATAGAAAAAGTCAGCATTCTCTATAATAAAAATATTGGATCTTCACATTTATTTACATTTCACGCGAGAGATATTCGTCACAAAAATACACATGCTTTGGCAATTCGTTTCTTTCTAACAACACTTCAATGTTAATAACACACACTGGCAGTGTAAATGTTATTACATAAAAATATTAAACCAGCAAATATACAAATATAAATTTTAACATATAACTCGTGAAAGTGTAAATATTTTTTCACGTCAAAGATATCAATAGATACATAAACATATTTTTCGCTTAAACATCTATGTATTAATTTTATAAACTTGAACAACGGTTGCATTTTAACGTAATATTAAAAACAAATATTTAAACAATTTATAATTTTCATAAAATATTTCGTCATATAATATCTACTAAGATACATAAAATTTTAAAAAAGGATTTTACATGAATCAAACAATTTTATAATGATTAATTAACCATGAAAAGATAACAGCCTTAATTATACAAATATAAGATATTTAAAAATATCGTAATAAGAGCTAAAATTCTTAACTCAATTGAAAATATATGTATAGCACGAAATATTAAACACATCATTATTTAAATTTAGTTCGTTTCAACAACAATTAATTACAAAGATTTTATAAAAGAGATAGAAGATCATGTAAAAAATGTCAGTTTTAAACCTATATTGAAACTATATATATATATTGAAAGAAGGCAAGCTTCGTAATTTACGTTCACTTACCCAAAATTGCATAGACAGTTTAATGGTTTATTAAAACTGAGTATAATATAAGGAAGGATATATATCCTTTCGAACTGCTTTCAAAATATGTATTATGGCATGAACATATTTTTAAGAGCAAATAAATAACACAATTAGATTTTATCAAAATGTGGTATGGGTGGTAAAGTTTGTACAGCCTTAAATAATTGCAGACATATATGAAGATATAGGCCTTATAATAATAGGAAGTAAAAAAATGTTGACAGTTTTTTATAGCATTCATCGAACCTTCTTTTGCATAATCAAAATATTTTGTTAATGACTGAAATTAGATTGAATCTTAATTGAGCAAAATTAATCAAAAATCAGCTGTTATTAAGATACAATTATAATGAAAAATCAACAGGTTTCCATGATGTAAGAATAATTTTCTTTTGCTTTGCCTTCTTTAGCTACACACAAATTATGAGCCTTGCACTTATCATGATGATTGACAATCTCGAGTCTAAAATTACCATTCCCAGCAGCAAATGAAGTACGTATTTCGGGAATTGAATCGCTCCATTTTCTACAATATTTACAAAACATAAGATTCGTTCTTTCGTCATATTCAAGCCAAGAGTACATATCTAACCACCCAATTTTGAATCTACCAGCCTTTCTACTTTGAGTAATAGAACGTTGTGAAATATTACATAAACTTGATTGAGTTACTGACATGCTTGGCTGTGGATTTACAATTATCGATCTATTTACATCATTATTACTGTTAAACTTTTTACCACTGGCATTACTTTCAGGAAGTGAACCAAGTAAAGAATTGAATTCGATGTGATTACTCTTGTGCGAATTAGACTTTAAAGATATAGATTGATTCTGTGAAGCTTTGTAAGGATTATTAAATGCAGTCCCTGACATATTGATAGACATAGAACCTCCAGCCATGATAGTGCTTTCGCGAGAAACTTGTATCACAGCAGGATCTTGTTGATTTTGGGTCATGTTCTGTACATCCATAGTTTCGTCACTCTTCCCATCTCTTTGAACCTCCCACTCCACACTAGTCTGTCAACAGAGAAGGAAAGGATATGTGTTTAATCAACACATCTTTGATTTTGTCTTTTAGCACATAAGAAGCCAATTTCGTATCTCTATTTAAATATCCCTTCCTTCCCATGTTTGTTTGGACTGAGTAGTTGTAGGAAAATAGTAGAAAATCATTGATTACAGGAACAGTAACGAAACTTCACATTTTTTGTACAATCTACTCGATATATTGTATAATTTCACGAATAGCTTACAAGCTATGCATGTGTGTGTTAAAGTTTTTTTTTAAAATACAATTTGGTTACACAATACAACAATAAAATAGAATAAAATAACATTCTGAAATAAAAGCAATACGTAATATAAAAGATTAATTCCATTACAATGCATAAAATATCAAAATTTACACTACATTAAAGCAACTTTTAACTATAAATATGGAAAAAAAATAATTGATTTGTTATATATATTTAATATTATAAATGATCATAGCAACTTTTATTAAAACTATATGAACGAATTTAAATATTCTATTGAATAGTTAAAAGTTATTTATTTTTTGAATTAATAAGTAATCTAATATAATACAGCAATCGTAGAAAAAGAAACGTTACAACTTACTATATGAATTTCATATTACAGGAAACATATAACTACATATTGTTAACTATTTACATGCTATCAATTACACTACATGCATGTTGTAACTCTTTCTCATAAATATTTAAAACATACTAATAAAAAAAAAAACTGAAGGGTACTTACTGGGAGGGAAATGTTGTCATGGAAGTCTGGCAAATGATGATCTAACTCTTGCTTGATCGAAGGTTGTGGCTGTGATGCAGGAGACATAGGTCGACCACCATCTTCCATATCACCTCCCATGGCATTATTTAACTTTGGAATCACGGGAGGGCTTGATTTGTAACTACATTGTGACGATGCCTGAAAAATAATAAATTACAAAATTATGCACTTTAGAAGCATTACAAATAAAATTATTTATAATTGTTGTAATAATACTTGTATCTAGCATATTTAAATTTACAACATAAAGGAAACTTCTTTTTTATAATAAAAAAAAAGGTTCTTTTGATTGACTAAAATTTTGAATTATTTTCTTTATTGTACATTATTTAGAAAATTTCTATCAAAATTAAAATATGCAGAACAGTTACTTAAAGAGAGGAATTATCCAAAACATCATTAATTCTAAAGGATTAGTCTGTGACAGAAATGATATTTTAAGATCAGCATTTGCTATATACCTCAAGGTTACAAGTACAGATATTTGGAAAGCTGTCCAATCATATAGATATATAATTTAATGATAATAAAGTGCGATCATTATCTTCGAATTTTAGGCGCTACCTGTAAGAAAATTTTGAGCATACACACGTGACTACACGTGTATACGTGTACGCATGCATGCACAACGCACGCGCGCAACTTCGCGGGAGCATATGTTTTGAAAACGATTTATTTAAAAGCGATAAATTTACATGAAACCAATACTGCAACATAAACTTGCATATAATATAAAAAATGCGGCAATTAGATAATAAAATAAACGTACAATAAAGAAAACAAAACACATATTTTATGTACTCCATTTTCAAAAATACACAATATATATCATTATTTCACCACTATTGAAATTTCTGTTTACTTTTTTTTATACTGAGACATAATTTTCTTCTTGTTTTATCATAATTTATTTCTCAAGCATTGTAAATAGGATACAGATTATCTAGAAATGGAATAGCTAGTACTTATAGTTATCGGAGTACATAAAAATCTTAAAACTGATACAAATTAAAAGAAAGTGACCTACTTCGTAATTGTTATTATGTTTACAGAAAAATATTGACAAATTTTGTACACATATTTTGAATACATATTGCAAAAAAATATGAAAGAATTAGAAAAGAATTTAAAGTTTCTTATAAAGAAATATTTTTGACACGATTAAAAGGAATGAATTATTCTATTTCACTATTTTTATTCTGTTACACTGTTGTTGTAGACATTTTATTAAACAATTACTTATTATGAACTCGAAAATGAAAACAATAATAACACAAATTATGACAGGGGAAAAATGTATGGTATTTGAATTATTTAAGAGTAAAAACATAACTCTCATGATACTTACATGCATAAACTAATAACATCGATATAGAATATTTAAAATTACGTACCTGAGAATCTGACATGAATCGTTCACTGGGTGGACCACTAAGGGAAACATCATAGCTGCCCGAGGCCTTTCGTTTCCTCTTTTCAGGAAGAGGCTGAAGGTTAGGCGATTCAGTATGCCTAACACCAGATTGTGATTCTGGTTCTGGCGATGGACTTTTCTCTTCTGCCTTGTTATTTACACTATTATCAGTGAGGCCTCTAATCTGTAACGCCTCAGCTGTTTTAAGGAACATCGGTAGCAGATGCTGACTAACGTTAACTTCTCCCTTATACATAAAGTGCAGCAATGCCTTCATTTCCGTTTCATTGACATCCTTCAGGAATATAATTGGATGGGGATGGGTATTCTGGAGGAAAATGCTCTCGAAATATGGACTGCATGCAGAGAGTATCGTCTGGTGTGCCTTGAATGTCTCTCCAACACACGCCAGGGTAACGTCGCAGAGTGCCTCTCTGGCAAGCAAGGAGCTGAGAACGTCTGTGAGGTTGGCTGGATGATTGTTCCACCGTAGGCAATACTGTTGGTCCATCTTGTCTATCTCCAATCCCAACCCTACAACCAAACTAGCTGCCCTGAACTGTCCACACTAGAGACTTTGATCACCCTGACTACAGAATGACTCCCTAACCCTTAAAACGTTAACTCACACGCCTTCTTCACGCACACTCTCCTATATCGGCCTGACGATATCTCCTCAGAGATTATATCGCAACTCTAGACCCACACAACTTCCTCCGTGCTTCTGCAAATGTGCCACATTGCAGTATAACTGTAAAACCCTTCAGGGTTCACGCGTCGCTACTATACGTACCAAAAACATTTTTTCGCATAACCTCAGTAACCGAAAAATAACAGCGTTCGCGATTTCACTTCGACAAATGTAGCGCGAATTAAAAGAAGGTTAGAGTATTAATTGCGACGCAGTATGTGTCACCCACGGATATGATAATATCCTATATTCGAAGATAATGTTTTCGGCAATGTCAATATTCGCGAGGCTTGGGCGCCATTGTCGGCCGTACTCGTCTAGCCACGAGCCTTCTCGCGAAAACTCGATTTGTTGATGCTCGATTTCTAACCATTCAAACACGCTTCACACGCGGCTTTATTTACCTAAACCCAGCGCCAGCTAACTAACGCATCGTATACACTAACGACCCGAGTTTGTTTATCGTCCCGATGATTACTCACCTTTCGCAAACTTTTTGCCATTACAACGCCACCCGACCCTTAACGTCCACTACCATACCAATCTGCCAATGCCTACGGCCTTATTTTTAAAATACTTTTGACCTTCGTGCATCTGCCGGGGGGAATGGCGCGAAGGGCGCTCGAATTCAAACGTTGCTAGTCACGTAATACGACTTCTTTCGATAATTTCAGTTTAATTGAACGTTTGTTTCACTTTATATTTACATACTTTTGTATAGATATTTCCAATAATGCTAATTTCAGCCTAAGATGCAACGACAAACTAAGAAAAATATTATCTGTTTTTCGAAAAGTAGAAAACAATGACTTATATTAAAATATCATTATGCAAAAGTTTATTTTTCCGTTTTCAACGTTCGTATACAATACGATATAATAATAATAATAATAATAATAATACGATTATAAAGCCAAAATGGAAATAACACGCGATGCATAATTTACCCAAATAAAATTACTGTCGAGATGTATAAATTATAGAATACGTGAACGTTAAAAGTTAAATAAAGTAAACAAATTCCCAATTCAACTACTTTTACTAAACGAATATCGAGATAAAAACATTTATCTTATTGACAGCTTGAAGCGCCTTATTTTAGCAGAAATTACCCTTTGTTCAATAGATTCTTTCCTCTTGTCAACAAAATTCTTATCATAGTACTATCAAAAATATAAATGATTTCAATCGTCATATATAGCATGAAAGTTTAAGGGCTTAAAATGTTTCCATAATAATCAGAATAAACGAAACAACTCCTATTCATTTTACGAAGCTAATCATGTGATTGAAAACAATTATCGTAGTAAAAATTAATTTCTCTTTCTATGAGAAATTCAAAAACAAAAAAGTAATTTTTGTTTTACTTTTTATAAAGCATTTTTTACAAAAACGTTTAGATACATCGTGTGATACTTTTGAAAGTGTTACACGGAAATTCGACTTCCCGTGAAACGTGGCAAACTTATACCCTGTTACGATATTGTAATGCACGTAATGCATGTAAAATTCATAGATCCTTGAACCAGATGCTATAAAAAGAAAACCTTAAAATCCGTTTCATTCTTGAACAAATCCCACCCTCCTTAAAAATCGAAATCTAATCTAAAGATTTGTTTGCACAGTTATTATCACGTAACTACTTCCGCGAATAGAACACGATTGATGAACGCGAAAATGTTGCTATTCTTTTTTTCATAAGCACGCTTCTTTTTCTGCTGGCCCATTGGTTAAACGGACGTATTTGCGCTACGTTATACGAGAGGGGATTACATTTCACGGAAAATCATGCAATGTAAAGGAGTCGATCGACTTCATTTGACTCCACTAAACGGTAATTCGCGCAAATCGTAAGCTTTCTGATATTAATTTCGAGCCGAACGATAATCGCGTTAACCATTCAAAATCAATAGGTAGCGGGAAAATTGGAAAATCTCCTTAATCGGTTTCCGAATATGGATTTACAAGCGTTGCCCGACCATTAACAGATTTAATCCGCACTTTGATTGGCACTGCGCAAAATTACTATTCGTCTGCTTGTCCCCGACGAAGATACGGCCGTGTTGGCAAATAGGAATTCAGTGTATTAAGCGGATAACACAGTGAATATAATTGAATTTATCTCGAGCTCGTGTGTTTCTGAGGATTTTAAACGATTGGCCTGGCAATGAAGACAATAGATGCTGCCGTTAGGGCCGCAATATTTTTACTGATTCACCGACTGAAAACGTTTAAAACTTAACTTAACTTCGTTTAAAGAAGTTTGCTTCGCGTTTTGCTTCGTGATGTACTTTCGCTTCGCGGCTAGGTGTTGTCGTAAATTATAACAGATATTACCCTGATGAAAACATCTTGTTTAAGAGAGTCCCGTAAATAAGCGAAAGGAAGAATATTATTAACCGTATCAGGACGTATAGTGAATTCGAAAGTATTCTGCGGAAGGGAGAAACTTTAAATGATTCGCTGCTCGAATCTATTTCTTGTTCCCTCTCGCGTACTCGTAGAAAATTTCTCACGATATATATATATATATATCTTTTTTCTTCAGTTTTTCTTTCTCTTTACCCTCGTTCGGGTAGCTATGGCAGATAGTACAAACGAAAGAATTGAAGGAAACAGAAGAAGTAGAAGAGAGAACGAGTAATCGTATCCGGTGGTATCAAGTCGGATTTACTCGTTTCATCGATGAATAACTACTGGAAAGGCTGCAGTAGTTAGCTATTAGCGCGTTTACACGGACTTCTTTAATCGCGTCGGAGCCGATTTTATCGCATCGAAGAACGCAAACCTATTGCTAACAAAGAGCCTGCTCGTTTACTAGACATTAACAACATCATCCTGGGTCAACTAAATGGTTACGCAATTAATTGTGCGAACCGGTTCCTAGAGCGAGTTGTCTATAGATACCGTTCGAGAAAAGAATCTGCTTCTAAAGTAATATACATACATATGTTTCATATGTAAATATGACATGTCTACATGATCGTCAGAAAAAGTTAAAATCAACAAGAATGTTCAACACTGAATCATGTGTATGCGTATGTGTGAAAGAGCAAAGATCGGCGATATTAAAGAACAGACATACAGAGAGAAAAATAGTAAAGCAAGGAACGGACCTGTAGATCCTCCTACAGCTGGGATATCGGCGAGCATCGCCGTTATCTGCATAATTATCTCGCGATGGCCTTGATTGTTCCACGAGGAAAACAAGTGGAAGCAGGTATATCGTGACGTATTGTGGCTGAATACGTCGCTGTTTTTCGCCCTAGCGCGTTGAGAAGTCGCGCGGCAAAAAAAAAAAGGAAGAAAAAAAGACATGTTTCTGTCTTCCGTGCGGCTGGCAGATCTTCAGGGACGATCTTCGCGCGGTGCATACCGGAAATGCAGCGGTGCCACGCGGCTTGCGCGATCTTCTCGCGCTGCGCTCATGTTCGCGCGTTAACTGCGCGCGCGCCGATTCCTCGTAAATTGCCCAACACAGACTATTAGCGCGGCATTTCGCGATAAAACTTCTAATTATCTTTTCTTCTCTTTGTCATGATGAATAATTAATGGATCGACACATGTACGTGCACGATCGTTCTTCAAGTATCTTCGATTTTTGTTCGGTACTTGGTCCGATCGTTCGGACTAAAACTCGCAACGAAAGGAGCGTCGTACACGATGGTATACATAATTCACGCTCGAACAAAACGCAACGGATTCACGATAGCGCAGTAAAGTTTAATGCGGTGGTAAGAAAGTTCGCATAAAATACGCTGTCTCGATAAAAGACGCACGCTGCTGCGCTCGGTCGTACGTTTTCTTAGCGACAATGCGGTGGTGTGACTTAGAAGGAGAAGAAATAGCACGCTTTAAACGTGTAATTTTGAAAAGATCGAGACGTTTTGCTGCAGAAACTTCAGGGCCTTTATTAAACGTTCTTACGCGTTACACAAGTATTGCCGCTAGTACGAGACAATTGAAAGTCGTGGTTATGCCGCGAATTCATTTTCCTCTCTGTCTCTCTCTCCCTCTCTCTTTCTCGCGCAACACATACTCCTTCGATTTTCTGCGATCGAAGGATTCGATCGATATCGATGCGTCATCTTGCACGACGTCACGATACGTTCGAGAGACGTACGGTAAAAAAGAGACGCGAGAAATTGCTCTCTGTTCCCTCTCGTCGTCTTTTTCAGAAGGGTAAAGTGTAAACACATTGTTTGGCGTTGATTATGCTCGAACTTTCGACCAGTTCATTTTAATAGGAGTATCGTCTGCTGCATCAAGCTATAGAAAATGAACGATAACTGTTCATCGGTTTATGAAACGCGATCGGTTGGCATGGTACTTACTTTTCTTTACTTTTTCTCTCTTTTTTTTTGCTAATTCTATTTTTATCTTATTTTTCTCTTAATCAACGCGTAAGTAACCCGATGCACGGAAAAACTACATGCGCGCATGATAAAATATGGTTCGTTTCCCACCGCTCATCGCGAAGGATTAAAAATTAATCTTGATATACCGTTACTGTAATATTTGTCCACCGAAGTGCACGATGTAAGGAGGGCATTCTGTATTTGCATAAGGAAAGAACGTTACCGGAGAAACATTGCGCAAATAATCCCGAGAAAATTCTAACGTAGCTACATACGGCTCGTCTTTTTTATTTCGCTCGGTTTTATTTCTCTCAAATCCTATTTTTCGATTGTGAAACGACCAGTATATTTCTAGGAAATTTGCATGACAAACTTTCGTAAAAACACATGCCCGTAGGACGTCGCTTTTAAATTATATCTTAAGGAACGTTTCGTTTGTACGGGCCGAAGAACATTCCCGATTCAGAAATATTATTTCGCGTATTTCGAATTCTGACTCGAGGAAGAAATGAGTTTCTTTATTCCCTCTCTCCTTTCCTTTCTACCGCTGTCTCCTATGAAAAATTGCGAAATTTAATATTTATTACCTTACGCAACTACGTAAATTGCAATTTTAGATGTAAGCTACATAATGAGTAATTGCATAGTTGCGTATTTATTCGTCGCGCACTTCGGCTAATTACAAACCTTAAATTGAAGTATCTAGAAACTGAGAAACAACGTTTCTTCGTTTCAGTTGATATGTAATTTTTCCGACGTGAAATACGATACGTACTATATTGCTAATTTTATGGTCTATCTTACGTACAATTTTGGATTTCCTTTATTTGCTACTATAAAGCTACGTATTTAAAAAAATAGATTTTTTATCATTTCATTGAGCAAAAGTCAGTCTTCGCGCGTTTCAACTTGCATATTCGTTTCGCTTATTGAAATTTCATCGCTCGTAAATTTTTCTTGTTCTCATCTACAGCGTGAAGGAACATCTTTCGCCTGGTTTTACTGTTCGCGAAACAATGGAAACGATACGATGGTCACGAAATAGGCCACGCACGCGTTCGTTGGCGAATATATTTTCGAGAATCGACAATCGCGTTACCGCGTATTTTTGTCCGCGCTGAGCGAGTTTATGTTTCAATCGGACGGTAAACCAATAAATACAGTCTAGTTTACTGAGCATATTATCGAAATCCGCTAAACTATACAGTTTTCCGACCAGTTACGGAATTTAACAAGGGATTCTGATCCCCCGGTTTCGATACATCCCGCATATTTTCTACGTTGAACGGTACAACCATTTCCCTTATTTTCCTATCCGATTATCGACTCGTGTAAAAATAGAAAACGAACTGTCAAAACAGCGGATCAACGAACGAGCGAGGCTAGCGCGTCGATAAAAACTGGCCAAACAAATGCGTTTAAACGGTCGTGCGACAAGAAATATCAACGTCGTATTTGATCGGTGATAGTTGAACGTTTTTGCCTCGACGTGGGTTGCGTCTTAGTCTCTCGAAGGGAGATTGACAAAGTGAGAGAGAGAGGAACACGCGACGCATGCCTCTAGATCTCGCGATCGATGGGTCCGGTTCTGGTAGGTTGTTTGCGGGCCACGGAATAGGCGCGAATCCACAGCTGGCCTCCCCTCTAAGCGAACCACCGCGTGCAGCCAGAGGAAAGCCGAGCGCGCAAATTGAACGTATTCTCTCGATAGAGCTAACTACGCGAGGGTGTCGCGCGAAGGAAAATCTGAAAATCGACGCGCCGATACCGTGAAGGCGGATTAGGCGCATCGTTACCTGGTTTACTGAAATTCGTGAACATGAAATCCTGTCGGCCTGGCGTGTAGCCGCACCATGCAGATTCAGAGGAAGGATCCCTTTTGATCCTCCTACGTGAAGATCTTCCGCGACGATCTTACGGGGACAATCCTTCCTGGTGACGAACGAAGACGATCCTCTTCACATTCACGGAAGGAACGATCAGCAGGAAGCTTCTTTTGCGTTTCACGATGGAACTGCGATCTCTGCCTTCTTCATGGACAGTACATTCGCGCACACGATAGTTACCAACGGAAAGAACGCACTCGTAATAATCGTTCGACACCGAGTAGATATTATACGGTATCTTCAACTCATGAAACGTTCGTCATTCATGATCGCAACCGCGTCGAATCGAACGAACGAAGAAACAAGGCAGGAAAGGAAGTTTCGATATGTAAAAACGAGAAACACAGACGGCGTAATCAGAGAGAGTGGTGTTAATAACGACCGTCGGTGATTACTTTTTCTCGTTGAATCGACGATCGACGGCAAGATCGAAACGAAATATTCTCGCGTAGCACGATTATCTCGCGACGCGACGTCGAAAACGTACAAATGCGGACGAAACTCCGAGAGGGAGAAACAACAAAGTGGCGTGTGTACCAAGTTGGCCGCGAAGCGCGACTGAGGCCAGGGGTGGCGCCGAGAGAGAGAGAGGGTGGCGTGGATGCAGGTCGACGTGTACGCTGCACGGACACATCCCCCCTAATGAATGCACCAGGCATGTGCGAGGGATTTTATGTTCGCCGCCGCCG